GGCCGGAGACGCGGGGCGCCGGGGACCCGGCCCGGTACCTCAGCCCCGGCTGGGGCAGCGCCAGCGAGGAGGAGCCGAGCCGCGGGCACGGGTAGGCGCGGCGGCGCGGGCCTGGCGGAGGTGGGGCCCGTGAGCTGCAGCTCCGCGGCGGAGGGGCTCGAGTCAGGCCGCGGCTGTGTCGCCCGACCAAGGCTCAGAAAGCTGGCGGCGGGGACCCGTGGGGCCTGGTCGTGGGGATGCTCTGGGTTCCAGGAGGAAGACCTTCATGGGCCATCCTCGCTCTCCCCTCCTTGGGAGGAGACCCTCCCTCCGTGGGCTCACCCCAAGACCCCCTCTCCCGAAGCCCACCCCAGCCCGGTCTTCACCTCTGGCAGGGCCACCTCCCCACGCGAGTGGTCCCCCCAGCCTCCACTGCCATCATCGCCCTGTCTGCTCACCAGTCTCTGGTGGTAGCAGGCCGGGCACGCCTGGCACTCGCTGGTGCGGGAGTCAGGAGGAGCAGGGACTTCACGGTGTGGAGCGCTCTCGCCTCGATGTGAGATGGGGGGTCTGCAGCCTTCCCCACCCGACTTCTTACTGCCTGGGCTTGGGTTCCTGGGTGAAAGGTGGTTTGGAGCTGGCATGGCACTTGTCTAACCTTGCCCCCGCATCCTGAGCGTTGTCCACTAATGCCTGGACCCTCAGGACGGTGGTTTTGTTCCTGCTGTTGAAAGGAGATACAGACGGTCTGTAGTATCCGTAGAAATGGGAGTAGAGCAATGACAGAACTAGCAGATACCGGGGAATGCCAAGAGGCACTTATTAAGAGCCCTCTCTCTTCTGGGACCCTTCCACTTGCTGCAGGCTGTTAGGTCTCCCCCGGATTATTCCCTGGCAGGCATAGATCTACTTCATTGGGAGAATACGAAACTCAGGGATGTGAAGATCCTGGAGCCAACCCCCATCACTGGCTGACCGTTCCCCAGTTGAAAGGGTCTGGACTTAGGGACCAAGAAGTTCAGAGCAGACTGGTGGAGACAGTTATTGGAGGAGAAAATTCCAGCCCAACAGCTGAGGTCAGGAAAGCTGGACCACAGCCTATGCCACAGTAGGTGTATCAGCACCTTATATGCTAAAAAGCCTGATCCATTCAACTCTGCTCTACTGAGGGTATAAAAATGATAAACTCGGAGTCACTGACAGCTCACAGTCTTGAGAAGTCAACCACTTAGTCAAATAATTTCAGAGGTCATGTGAAATAGCCTTGAGTGATTTTCCTTCTGAATTTATTTGCCTGTGACTGTGGCAAAAAGCTGTTCCTATCCTGAGGGCTAAATTATTGAGATTGTACCATGATCCAGGGTTAAAGCCCTACTCATTTCTTGGGCCTGGAAAGATCCTCTAAGGAGGTCTAGGAGAAACTGAGCCTTGATATGGGTGGGTCTGTTGCCTTCACCCCTTACACCCTTCCTCCAGAGCCGCCCTTCTCTCCCAGCTCCGTGGCTTGAGTCTCATGGAGTGTTTGGTCTGAAGCACTTCCTGCTGCCCACTGGCATGGGGTTGATCCCAGAAAATCCCAGGAGTTCTTCAGGGTAGTAGAGCTGACAGAGCCAGCGGGCAGGCACCCAGAGCACGAGAAGATGCAGCCAAGAACAGGATCCACACTGTTCCTTGTTTGGGCCCAGCCTGGCCTGGCAGCAGCCACCACCTCATGTGAACATGCTCCCCAGAGCCTGCAGGAGAAAGCCCAGATTCCTGAATATGCTGGTTAAGACATGGCACCCACCCACCATATCCCCTCAGCCATTGCGTCCTTCCCTGTCTGTCTTAACGCTTTATGCTCCTGCAGTCCTGCCTCCTAGTTCCCTAAGCACAGGGGACTGTTTTATGTGTACTTGCCTTTGCAGTCCCAGCTCTGGATCCTCTGATTGATTGATTTTTAGTTAGCCTTTAAAACTTGCTGCTTCTTCCCCAACACCCTCAATCCCCACCGCAGAGCTGGGTTTGTTTCCTCTCTCGGTGTTGCTGTAGTACTCTGCACATTTTACATCTCACACTTGCCACAATCATAGTTCTGTCTCCCTTACAGGAATATGAACTCTGTGAATTCAGGGACCCGGTTCTCATAGTATCTTCAGTGCCCAGCAAAGCACCCAACCCCTAGCAGGTGCTCTAGAAATATCTAGAATGCATATCTGTGTCATTGCACTCACTCCACCCTGTTGGAAGCTGTGTGTTTCTCCACAGCTAGACAGTGACGTGTCTTAGTTGTCTCCCTACCTCGGTTCCTAGCCCAACCTGGCTTACACCATGGGAGCAAGAATAAATGAACAATAAGTAAAAAATCTTTACAACCTCTGAATGTTCATAAAAAGATGTTGTTCCGCTCATAAAAAGATGTCTTTCCCTTTATTCTCACCTTTTTGACATAAAAATGTTCAAACATAAAGAAAAAAGAATAGTACTGTGAGCATTCAGATACCCACCATCTAGATTTAACAGTTATTAATATTTTGCCATATTTGTTTGGTGGATGTATAATGTGTGTTTCCCCCAAACCATTTGGAAGCATGTTGTATACAAGACTTACACCCTTAATACTTCATTCTGTAACTCTTACTAATGATATTCCCTGTAAAACCATTACACTATTATTATGACTAAGTAAATTAACAATGATGCCCTAATATAATCCCTAAAATAATCTAATAGCCAAGTTTCATTTTCAAGTTTCCCCTAATTGTTCCACAGTTGTCTTTTACGGCTGTTTCTTTTTCTCCTCAAACCAGAATCCAATCCAGATTGAGGCATTTGCCTCTTCTGTCTCTTTAGAATCTTTTTTTTTTTTTTTTGTCCTTTTTGAGACCGGCCGCACCGCGCTCAGCCAGTGAGTGCACCAGTCATCCCTATATAGGATCCGAACCCGCGGGCGGGAGCGCTGCTGCACTCCCAGC